GGGAGGAGGGGAGGGGGATGAGGAGGATCAAAGCTGTAGCAATTCTCTTTCAAAGCAGACCTGTGCTCCTGCACAGTGGCAGCAGCTCCTCACCCCCCAAGTGCAGCTGAGCCGGGGGATGCAGAGGGGGCTGGAGGCAGGGGGTGGCTGGGGACAGTCCCTTACTCATGTTCTCCTTACTCCTGATTTCCATGGAGCGCTCCAGGACGCGGCCGTGGGTGGCGGGCAGGGTCAGGCAGACGAGCAGCAGCCACAGGAGGCAGGCGACCCCCAGCTTCATCCTGAGCACTTTCGGGCCGCCGTGACTTGGCTGTGAAGTCTCCTGAGCCCTGCTGAAGGCTCCGATGTGGCTGCAGGAGAGAAGGGATTTGGCTGTTGGTGTGTGTCCCCATCACAGCATCCCCGGGCCAGTGGCAAAGGGCTTGGGGACAGCACCAGAACAAACCCAGGGGTTTGCTGCAGCTGACACCTCTGGGGAAAATGCTGCCTCCAAACATGAGCTGCACAAACCTCATGGTCATTAAAACAGGTTTTGGTCCTAGCCTAGTGCCTTAGGTCAGGCCTGATCTTCTCTGGGACCCCCAGTAAACCTGTGGGACCCCAGAGCCCAAGGGATGGGGACCAGCACCAAAATGCAGGGCTGGCTGCAGAGCCACAGATGGGTGGATGGATGGATGGATGGATGGATGGATGGATGGATGGATGGATGGATGGATGGATGACCACCTCTGCACCCTTAGCATCCACCCCTGGCCGCGGCTGCTGAAGTGACAACCCAGGAACACCCTGTGCCACACTTCAGGGCGCCGAGGCGCTGAGCAGGGGCGGGCTGGGTGAGGGGCTGGGTCTCTGCAGCCACCCGGCCCGGGGAGCAGGGCGAGGGAGCCGAGCGGGAGAGGGAGGCAGGGAGGCAGGACACGGCGGGGCTGCGGGGCCGCTCCATTTCCAGCCACTTTTGCGAAGGAAAAGTTCGCAGCGTGCTGAGCAGGAGACACCCCGAGCTCCCTGCAGCTCAGGTTTGCCGCGGCCACCAACTTTTGGCCCCCTCCCATCCCCACCAGCCGGCTGGACGGACGCGAGGACAGACACACGGAGAGGCAAAGCAGCGCTCGGGAATTACCGAGAGCATCACGGCAGGCGGAGGGAAGCGTCGCTCCCGGGCGGGGGCCGCACTTACCGGGGCCAGGCGAGCAGAGGAGGCCGGCTGCTGTCCCCTGAGCCAGGTGGCGGCTGTGTGAGCCGGAGTCCCCTCCGCTCGCCGCTTTTATCGCCGCTTCCCTGCTGATGTCAGAGGCGAGCCCCGGCGGGGACCGAGCCGGGGCATCTCCCCTCCCCGCTGTCCCCTCTCATCAAATCAGCACCGGGGTTGTCGTGAGTCAGAAGGGACCAGCACTTTATCTGACGCTGGTTGAGGGAGATACTTTGGGAATATGTTAATGCCCGTCCTCGACGCGGGGTTATTTCGGACAAGGGGAAGTTTTCTGCTCTCTCACTTGCTGCCGGGGTCGGTGTGTGCTGCTGCCCTGAACGCTGTAAATGCACCGCAGGATTCACTCCGGTACCACCCCTCCACTCTCCCCCCCAAAAAACCCTGCTTTAGGGAAAGCAGAACACTAAACACAGAGACCAGGGGAAGGCAGTGTGCCGGGGCACATGGGCTGGAAGGAACGGGCTTGTTCTCTGGGCATGAGGGGTACAGATCCCCACCTCCCGGCCCCCCACTCCCATTTAAAATTAATTTTAAAGATTTCTGGTGTTTATTCTGCTGGATGTGACACTGGAGGAGCCAGCCTGGGGCTCCAGCGTGAGGGTCACTTGGTGTCCGGACAGACAGAAGTGGGACATCCCAAAACAGGGACATCCCTGTGCTGGCAGGACTGTGAAGAGACGGTCACCAGCGGGGTGTGGACAGGGGAAGGTCTCTGTCTGCCACCCCAAAGTGGCGTGGCTTTGCCCTGGGACAGAGCTCCGTCTCAGGCAGTGTCCATCTCCCCTGCCTGAGCACAGCCCGTGCTGGGGAGAGGTGGCAGGAGCAGCGTGGCTCACAGGGCACTGCCACAGGTGTGCAGCAAAGCAGGGAAAGGGCTGAAGAGAGGAGAACCTGCCCCAGCGTGGGCTTCAGCCAGGGAAATCCCCACCCCGGGCTCAGCAGGCCTCTCTCCACCCCAGGGTTGCTGCTGCTATTTAATACAGGTTTAAAGCAATCCCTTGATGCTGTGGGCTCGTGTTTCTTGTGGCTTCAGCTGCCAGACTGCGTTCAGGGTTTCCATGCAAGTTGGAGCAGTGCCTTTATTTCAGGGTCAGCCCCTCCCCAGCACCAGCCTGGGCATTCCCTTTGCCCACCCAGTGGCTTCTCCTCCGGGCACCACTGACCCACACCAGCACCCCTGTGGCCCTGTGGCCAGTGTCTGGCCGGTGTCTGGCCATCCTGATGTGCACCCTCTGCAACCACCTGGCTTCAGTGCTGCTGGTTCAGCTCCTGCCTGCTCCACCTGGCCAGCTTTAAAGCCAGGAGTGCACAGGATGGTTAAAGAAATGGATACGGAGCTGCTGGAGCAAGTCCAGAAGAGGCCATGAAGGTGCTCTGAGGGCTGGAGCCAGGCTGGGAGAGCTGGGGTTGCTCACCTGGAGGAGAGAAGGCTCTGAGAAGACCTCAGAGCCCTCCCTGTGCTTAAAAGGGGCTCCAGGAGAGCTGGAGAGGGACTTGGGAACAAGGGATGGATGGACAGGACACAGGGAATGGCTTCCCACTGCCAGAGGGCAGGGTTAGATGGGATATCGGGAAGGAATTCTTCCCTGTGAGGGCAGGGAGGCCCTGGCACAGGGTGCCCAGAAAATTGTGGCTGCCCCTGGATCCCTGGAAGTGTCCAAGGCCAGGCTGGACAGAGCTTGGAGCAATCTGGGCTGGTGGAAGGCATCCCTGGCCTTGGCAGGGGGTGTGAGCAGAGGGGCTTTGAGGTCCCTTCCAAGCCCAGCCATTCTGGGATTCCATGGGAGGAGAAAGGAGCCTTTGCTCGAGTGCGCTGAAAAAACAGACACTGGGAAATGGGTGGGTGGTTCTGGACACAGAATTGGCTTTATTGCGTGATTTAGTGAACATTTATTATAAACTCTACACAGGCAAATGGGTCAGGAAACCAGCAAAGAGCAACGTGGGTGGCTACTGAACGATGCCTTGGTGTGCACTGCTGAGGTTCCCCGCGAGGATTCCTCCACAGGGTCAGGCGTGGAAGGACTGGAGTCATGGCTGGAACCAGACAAGCAAGAGATGGGGCTGGGTGAAGGCTGAACCCTGGTGCCAGAAGGGTGGGTGCAAACCCTTTGGATGGCCTTGCTGAAGCTCCCTTTTTCCAGCCCAGGAGCTGCCATCCCAGCACAGCACAGGCTGGATCCAGTGAAGCCACAGTGTCTGGGAGAGTTTCTGCCACAGCAGAGGTTTGCACTTACCCTGTTGAGCTTCAGGCCACAAGGATTTAATTTTAAAATAAGAAACTGGCCTTGTTTCCATCTGGGAAGCCCAGCCTGTGGACTCACAATACTCTCTGGGATGACCACAGGACCAATTCCTACACAGTCAGCAGCCTCTACTCCTAGCAAAGCCAAACGAGTGTTACTTGCATGAGAACTCACCCTACTGCTCATAATTAAAGTGGTTTTAGCTCAGATGCTCAGGAATTGCCTAGAATGATCCAGCCTGGGTGGCCATGGAGGGGAAACTCTGCACTGGTCTGATGTCCCTGCTCCAGCTGTGAGTGATCCTCCCCACTTTGCCCATCGGGGAGGGAGGGAAGGAGGGAAGGAAGAGAGTGGGGGCTGTACAGGACAGGGACAGAACAAAAAACCTCTTCCAAAGTGACCTGCAAGAGAAAGCAACCCTCTGCCCATCCTGATGCTCTGCTCATGGGTATGGGGCCGGTACTGATCCACTGGGATCAGTGGAGAGTTGAATATTGGAGGAAAACAAATGTCTTGGGGGAGCTGGGGGGAGGCTGACACCAGGGCCCAGGGCTGCTGCAGCTCCAAAGGTCATCACAGCCCTGAAAAAGGATGGGGTGGCCCTAAGAGGCTCCACAATGCTATCACCAGGGACAAGGGACATGCTCATCCACCCAAGTGCATCCTGGCAGGGGCTGACTCTGCAGGCTGGGGTTCTGTATCTTGCTGATGCAGCCTCACATGGAGTGGAGATATCTTCAAGAGCTGGAAAAGCAAGCCAATATCGCCAGCAAGCCCTCCAGCCTTTCCTCCCACTTCTCTTGCCACTGCTTGCCTCAGGTCTTGCCTCACTCCCATGCCCTGATGGCCACAGCTGCTTCAGGCGTGGTGGCAGAAGCCCCAGTGGGTGCTTGCATGGCTGGGGGCAAAGAGCAAGTGCTCACTGGGAAGGAACCAGCACTGCTCTCATCCTGCTTTGCTGCTCAGGGAAGAGAAACAAAGCTCAGGGACATGGCAGGGGATTGGGACCAGCATCAGGGTGTGAATCCCAGCACTGGGATGCCTGGGTCCATCTTCTGCCTGGGGTACCCCAAGGGCATTCCACACTCACTGTCAGCTCCTGTCCCTGCTCACAGCAGCCTGGAGAGAGCAGGGACAGGCACTGACATTTTCTGCCAAGTGAGGGCTGTGTCCCTGCCCTGTCCCTGTGCTGAATGTCACACTGGCACCCAGCTCCCACGAGGAGGTCACTCCTGCTCTGTACCTCTCCGGTCCCCTTGGCTGACCCAGTACCAAAGAGCTGCCCCAACCCAAGGTCTCATTCCAGCATCCTCCAGGAGCACCCCTGGCCACATGGCTGCACCCCAGTGCTTTGCTCCTCTTCCCATCAACTCCCAGCAAGGCCTCCTGCCCATGGCCTCTGGCTTCCTTTCTGTCCAGGCTTTCAGGGAGAGAGGGGCTCAGGAGAAAGAGGAGAAAGTGTTTCAGGGAAGGCTGAGAGAGGCTTTGCTTTGCTGAGGTCTTGCATCTTCACTGAAATGCGGTAGCAGGGAGGTCCCCTCTCCTCAGGACAGGTGAGTCATCACAGGCTTCTGCAGGGCACAAGAAGGAGAAACCTCAGCCCACCACCGTGTCAACACCACCCTGAGCCAACCTAGCATCTCCTTGTCCCTTTCTAGCTGTCACTGCACAGAGTGAGTCCCTGTCCCACCCCACAGACCACGCAGGCAGCGGGAACTCAGAGATGTTCATCTTCTCCGGGGCTCCTGACATCCCCGACCTCAGGAGCGATGCCCAGGCACTCCACCCTCACCAGACAGCGTGGAGGGACCAACGCTGAGAGCTGAGGGCTCCATCAGCTTGAGGAGAACGTGGGGGAGGACAAGTGCCAGGGGCAGCCAGCAGCCCTGCCTGGGGCTGGCTCCGTACCGCAAAGAGCCGCTCCACCCTCCTGTTCTTGCCGTTGGGGTTCCTCTGCGTCAGCGAGCCGCGGTACGCCGAGTTGCGCTCAAAGGAGTCGTCAAAACCTGCAGGGAGGGAGCAGGGGTGGGCAGCAGCTCCTCAGCCACCTCACCAGAGGCTTCAGAGACCCACCGAGTCACTTGGGATTGACTAATCCCCCTCTGGCTGCGGGTTTGGATGCATCCCAGCACTCCCCTCTCCGGGAGGGCGATGGGAGCGCTTTGCTAACGAGGAGAAAAGAGCTGCTGCTGCTCAGCTTTCCAGAGCCCTCTGTGAGCTGGCTCAGCCTTTCCAGACTCTGCTCTGGAAAGCTCCGTGGTGCAACAAAACCCCAGCCTGGGAGAAGCTCTCAGCTCTCCCTGCGCCAGCCTTGAGACTCTCTTGGCCTGTTAATTCATCTCCTCTCCTCTGCCACCAGCTTCCACCAGCTGCACCTTTTCAGGCCCAGCTTTCCAAGTCCCTGCCCTGGCAGGCAGGCAGTCAGGAGACCAAATGAGCCCTGGCCCAGCCCAGGCACGGGGATTAGGTTTGCTGGTGACGTCTGTCCCCATTGCACTTCCCTCTATCTCCTCGCAGGGCTGCCTTTATCTGCCTGCCCTTTGCAGGAAGGAGAGCAGATGACTCCTCCTGAGGATGAGGACAAGGGACCTTTCCACCTAGCAGCCCCAGCCTGGGGAACAGCACTGTTAATTGTCTGTGTGGATGGGGGAAATGCTGCTCTACCTCTGCAATAAATGGTCTTTTCCCCCTTCCCTCCCTTCGCTTTCCACTATCTGGAAGGAGAGCCACTCTTTCTGCCTTTAAGCTTGTGAGGAGAGATAAGAGAGAAATAGAAAAGTAATTTCCTAACGGGTCTCGCTGATATTGGTCAGAATTAAGCATTTCCAGTGATTGTCCCCCCACCACACCAGCTGCTGTGCCAAGTTTCAGGTCATCATCTACTTTGAAGCTCTCCCAAGCTGCTGTTTGCCCATAGCTGGGCCCCGAAGGGCTTCTTGCCCCCCAGAAATGGCTGATGAGTCAAGTGGGCAGCAGGGGCAAAATCACAGAGTCATGGTTTGGGTTGAAAGGAACTTGAAATCCACTCTTTGTTCCACCCCCTGCCATGGGCAAGGACACCTTCCACTAGACCAGGTTGCTCCAAGCCCTGTCCAACCTGGCCTGGAGCACTTCCAGGGTTGGGGAATGCCATCCAGGGAAGGATACCTTCCCCAGGGCGGCCAAGCAAGGGAGAAATTGCTGTCAGAAGAGAGGATGGGCTTAGGTGAGGCTTTGAGAGCTAACAGCCCACGGGATGAAGGCACACAGGTGTCTCCCTGGACCGTGGGGTGGCTGCAGAGAAGTCCTGGTTCTTGGAGGACTCAGCCACCTCAGCCTGGTCTCTGTTCTCCCATCACTGCCCCCAGCCCTGCCAGCTGCTGCCTCCTTTCCCAGTTACCTCCACAGGTTCCCCCTGAGGCTGTCCCAGCAGCAGGCCATGAGCACAGGGAAGGGAACTCTGCTGCAGACACACAGCTGGATACAGAGAGAGAGAGAGGAGCAGCACCCCCAAAGCCCAGCCCAGCCCCCCAGAGGTGCCCATCTCCCACGGGCAGGGCCGTGGTCCTTACTGGTGATTTCCAGGGGACTGTTGAACTTCCTCCTGAACCGCTGCAGTCCGGGCATTGCCTGCAAGAGAAGGGCAGCAGCCTGCTGTGGGGAAGGGATGGGAGGGCAGAGGTCTCCACTGAGGCTACTGCTCTGAAGGCAGCCCCCAGGTTGTGTCCAGGCTTAGTGCTCTGCCACAGGCACAGCCTGTGATTAGACACACACTCACTTTAATGTCATCCAGAGACTCCCCAGGACTGCTGCTGGCAGGAGCAGGAGAAGGGAGACAGGCAGCCTGTGGACAGAGGAAGGCAGAGGTGTCTCTGGGGGTGCAAGAGGAGGCAGACACCTCAGTCTGCCACGGCAGAGCACCAGGCAGCACAGGGAGAGCTGGGAATGGCTCAGCCAGCCAGGCAGCCCTTCCCAGCACCCAGGGGCAGCAGCTACAGCTCAGGGCAGCAGGTACATCACAGCCACCACCCTCCATGCTCACCTGCACACTCGACTTCTTCTTTGCCTTTTCCACAGACTTCACTGTCAGCCCTGCAGCAGACAGGGCTGCAATTCGGGATTCGATATCCGATATCTTTAGAAGGAGGAAAAAAGACACACAGATGGTGGTTGGAGGATCCACCAGTGGCTCTGTTTGCCATCACTGGCTGGGCAAAGCATCTGCCAGGGTCAGGCCCTCACCTCACTCTCTGCCTGCTGCACCTGAGCAGCTGCTGAGGCCACTTTGTCCTCCAGCTCCGACAGCTCCGAGTCGGTAGTGCCGCTGTGCTGAGCCCCTTCCTCAAGCTCCTTCAGGGTCTTCTCAAGCTGGTAGGTCTTTCCAGCAGTCAGGTACACCTGAAATACAGCAAAAGGAAAACTTGCATTGAAGAATTAACCTTCTTGGAGCTCTCCTCTCCTGCTGTGGCTGCAGCCCCAGACGCAGCAGCTCCTGCCACTCTTTTCTGACTGCCTTCTTGCCTTGCAGCACAGACAGTGCCAGTCAGCTCTGACACGACTTGCATTCTCATTTCCTCCCTTCCCTGGGCTTTTTGAGAGCAATTACCAACAGTGTGAAGAGGTAAGAGGCTCAGTGGGAACACAGGAAGGACCAAAACTCAGTGACCTGCTTGAGAAGCAGCAGCACTTTGCGCCGTGTGCTCAGAGGAGAGCAGGTACCAGCTGCAAACCAGCTCAGGCTGCTGTGCCCTGTGAGGAGGAGACAAACTGACTCTCCAAACCTGCTCAGTCTGTGCTGCTGGGAGCAGGGTCAGAGCAGGGCAGCCTTTGCTGCCTAGAGAAGAAGGGTGAAAGGATCTATCCCAATAAAACCTCTGGTTTTACTGCCACTTGTCTCCTCCCAGGTTACTACAAGGACACAGGTCCAAGCAAGGCAGCTCAGGAACATCAGATGTGGCCACTGTTCTGCCGACTGATCCCAAGGTCTTGGTATGCCATGGCAATTTCTGCTCCTCCAGCCCTCCCAGCTCTCCCTGGGCTGGGCATTGTGCAAAGCTGCCTGGCAGGAGCCCTCTGCATGCACTGAGCTACAGCCCATCCACCCAAATCACAGCAGCACGCTCCCAGAGGTCCCACCCATCCCAGTGCAAATCCTAAGGCCATGCACCACCCAGCCTGAGTCACAGGGATTTGCTGTGGGCCCTCCAGACTCTCCCAGTGCCCTCCAAGGTGGGTGGCATGCCTTGCAGAGCAGCACAGTGGCCAGCCAGCTGTGACTCAGCCAGGATCCCCGAGGGAGTGGCAGGATGACACACATCTCCCAGGGCTATTGTCTACCCACCCCTGTCCTGAGCTGACAGCAGCAGCAGCAGCACTAAACCCCAAGTTCATCCTTCCCAGCCCTATCCCCTCTCTTGGGAGAGGGGGAACCCCAAAACCTTCATGCATCCAACCCTGTTCCCCTGGGATGCTGTATTTGGCCAGAAAGCATCCAGGTGTTGCAGCTCCCTTACTCATAAGCTTTCCCCAGTGAGAGATGAGCCACGGAGTGTGTCCTAAAACCCTGCCCCCCAATGCAGGACATTCCCTACAGCAAAACCCGACCACACAGAGGGAGATCCAACTCTTCTTTGAACCGTTTCTTTGGAGCTTGGTACAGGGCACTGTGGATGCACAACACTTCCACAGGGAATCAGTTCCTATGGGTTTATGGTGGCTAAAAAAGCTGTCAGCATTCTGGGCTCACAGAAACCTTGCAGGGAGATTGGGCTCTGGCTGTGAACTTGTCACCTGCACAAGCCCATCAGCCCCAGGCACAAGCAGCCTTAGTGAAGAGGGCTCATGAACCCCTTGATGAAACACACAGTGCTGGGGAGGAACTGAAGGCAATGGGACACCAGTTTTGCTGGAGCAGGGACTGCTGAAACCCAGCAAAGCCATGCTACAGCAGGGTGGGGACCACCCTCATCACCCAGGAACCAAAGGAAGGAAAGCCACAAGACTGAGCACCTTCTTTTGCTGTTGTACCATCCTCTAAGACCAGACTTTTTAATCCCTCTGCTGACCATCCTTGCAGTGCTGACCATCCTCTCAGTGCTGACCTACCCCTTAACAAGAAATTTTGGGGGGGATTCCTTTGCGTTCCCACCCCCCTCTGCCCAAAAGCTCTGGGGAGCCTTACATTTTCCTCAAGCTCCTGGTACACTTCGGCCACCTCTTTCCCATCTGCCAGGCCTGGAAGCTGCCCAGCAGGGAGGGCCCAGCCCTGGCTCTGTCCATGCACCGACTCCCACACCGCTTCCTCCGTGGCGTTTATGGCTCTCAGCACTTTGGCCGTGATCTCACTCAAAGCCTGAGCCGACGACCTCTGCGAGAGCCAAAGCACAGGGAGGGAGGGAGGGGGGGAAAAAATATGGATGTTATTTCAACGTGGTGTATAAAACATCACAAGCCAGGGGGGAGAGGGGCACCAGACCTCCAGGAGCTGTGGGAAGAGGGAGGAGTGGTAATTAAGGGGCTTACGCTGCTCCTGAAGGGCTCTCCACCAGCAGAGCTTTGATCTCAGCCCGTGCTTTCTGCAGCATGGCTGTGACAAAAGAGGTCACCTCCAAAGGCTTGGAGAAGAGGTTATGGAGGGATGTTTCTCTCACTGGAAGCACCTGAGGGCCACTCGGTTACGCAGCAGTTAAGCTCTAATTGCAGCATATTGCTTTACACCTCAGCGGGCCTGAGCGGGGATGCAAACAACTCCTTGAGTTTGTGGCAGAAGAATAAAACCAGCCTGACCCCATAAAATTATTGTATTGCCACACGGACAGAACCTGGGGCTAATTGTGTCCTCTCTTCCCACCCTAAGGAGCACTGATGGCAATCATGCCCTAAGTGCTGCCCTTGGCTTGATGAGGTGCTAAACACGGTAAAAATGGTCCCAAGAAACTCATCGTGTCTCTCCCAGCTGATAATTCCCTAGAAACCAAGGAGATGGGGGTGACATATGTGCTGGTTGTGTTTACAGCTGCATGTATTTCCGGGCAAGCTGTCCTGCAGAGAACCAGCTAACTCAGTCCAGATGACATTTTTATCATTTTATGGTGCCTTCATGGTACAGCAGAGTTTTTTCACATTTTCCATTAGGTTCGTGTGCTTCCATCACAGTGCTCCCCCAGTCAGAAGATTTCCTCTTGACTGGAGGAACCTCCTATCAAAAATCCCTCAAAATCACACAAAATCCAAACCTGGATCTGTTGCATGTATAAGGAAAGCTGCTGTTAAACATCATCCATGCTGACAGCCTCTAACCAAGGCTGGTCCAGCTACTGCAGGCATTTCTATCTCAATACTCCTCCCTGCTTCATAGCAGGGCTTGGGGGGCATAAAAAGTAGTAAATCTGGAGGATCCAGGCTTCATTTCATAAGAAACCAGAATCTTACACTGATACCACACCAACAGTTCAGGGTTTGAGCCTCTGCCTGCTGCAGATCAGCAGCTCACACAGAAACTAAGTCACCTTGGCTTGGTGACTTACCACTTACCTGCACTTAATTAGGAGTGGTTATTAAGATGACGCAGATTGTTCAGTTTAGGAGAAGTTAAGTCTGGCTGCAGCAACCATCTGAAAGCAGCTTTCAGGAAAAAGGAGGCAGTAAAGAGTGCTGTGGGTAAGGATGCACTGCTGCTCCACCGGCAGGGAGAGCACAGCAAATGGGGCCCAAACCCACCAGGTTTTGTGTTGGGAGGAACAAATGCACATTAAAGGCAGGTCTCATGGCACCATGAAAGTCACCACAACCTCCAAGCTTTGCAGGAGAGGAGAGGGGCAGCGTGGTGCCTGCTTCCTTCCTTTGCCAGCATTTTGGAGCAAATGCACACACCCCCCTTCCACAGCCAAGGCAGGAGGGAGAGGATGAGCAAACCAGCCCTCAGAGACCCAACAGGGAGTGCTGACCTCTCCATCTGTGCTAATGGATCATCTTGGAGCCTCTGCACTGCTGTGATCTGTCCTCCTCTCCCTGACCCCTGTCCCCACCATGGAGGAGGGACAGGAGGCAGCACAGAGCTGGAAATGCAAGAGATGCTGATCTAGCAGAGTGGGGTCAGGGATTTAGGGACTCAGGGGCACTGACAGGTGTGGAAAAGACATTTCAGGCTGTAGCAGGTGCCTGACAAAGGCTGCTGGTACTAAATCCTCACCGAGCTCTTCTCCCACCCCAGGACTCTTCTCCATGGTAACTTCCAGATGCTGGGACCACTCCTTTAAGTAGATGTGGAGGTTGTGTAGCTCTCCATGACAGGCAGCAGCCTGCAAGAACTCTCAGAGGCTTTACTTTTGACTCTTGGCTGAGACTGGGAGAGCCTACAAGGAGAAATGCCCACATCTAACACCCTGGGACTTCCCTATCCCGTGACATTGTTAAAGCAGACACAGACACAGCCCTGGTGGAGGCGTGGGACAGAAGGAGAGTCACGTTTTCGTGGTGTAAAACCACAAACCACTGAGAGCAGGAGGAACCATGGATGCAGCCTGGAATGATGTGGGTGGTAGGGCACAGATCACCTTTCGAACATCCCTGGCCATGGCCTCTCTGGAGGAACTCAGCTCTGGTTTCTTTGCTCTCTTCTCTTCTTCACGCTCCTCCTCGTCAGAGGAGACTTCTTTATCACTGATGTTGCTGGCTAACTCCTCCAGCTTCCTCTTCAGCTCCTCCTCCTCAGCATCGGGGTCAGTGTGGGACTCTGGGACAGGAGACTGGAGGAACAGAAGAAGGGAAAGGTGTGAGAGGCTCCTGGGGTGGACACAGGGCCTGCCTGGGTCCAGACAGGCTCAGCAAGCAGAGGAGCTTGGGGAGTGGGAGCACAGAGGGGCTTTCAAACCGCCCCAGGGAGCAGCAGAGCTGTGCTCCAGCTCCTCTCTGAGGAACACAAACCCCTGACCTAAAGAACCTCCACTCCCGTTTTCCCCACACACAGAACTTGTTTTTCTCCATGGAAGATTTCCTTTCCCCCACCCTTAAAAAGGTGGGCATGAAGGATTTGGGGCAAAAAATCCCCACATTTTCATTAGGAGCCATGGCATGGCTGGTGGCTCTGAGGGCAGAGATCACAGCAACCCAGAAACAAGGTCCACCAGGGAGAGGGAAGCAGCCATGGGAATTGCCACTCCCTGAGGTAACTTTTGGAACCTCTGGGCAATCTCATTTGGGATGAGAATCCACACAGCAAATTTCCCTGTAGGATAGATGGCAAATATCCACCCACCCCCGTTGTTAGGTGCAATTCCTGGTAGGTGGAGAAGAATCCTATTAAACTCCCAGGCACTGGAAGAGATCTCCAGAAGTTCCTGAACTTGCTGACCCCTGCATTAAGATGGGAATACAATTACCTGCGTCATACCTGGTGGGGTTTTGTCTGAGCTGTTTTTTAACAGCCTCCAACAGCAGCATCTGCAGCAGGCAATCTTTTTTTCCCCAGGCAACCTATTCCAGGGCTCTGCTACCCTTTCTGCTGGAAAGCTTTGTTGTTAACCTCAGCCTGTCCCACAGCTGTTTAGACTCACTGCCTGTGCTCTGATTTGCCCTGGATATGGGAATAAAGTGTGGGAACCTGACACTGTGAAAACCTCTTACTCCCTTGGTTGGCATTACTGATGGAAACCCCAAATGATTAAAATCATTGTGGCCAGCCCCCTCTGCGAATTTTATAAAAAAATGGAGAAATTGCATTGTTTCATCCATGCCTGGGGGCTTTGCCTGTAATTAACACCATCCATTCTACTGAGCCATCAGCTGCCAGAGTGGTCATGGGTTCACATGAAGGAAAAGAGTGCATAGTCTAAAATTAGAAGCCCAAAAATCAATGTTAAGCGGTCTAAGTATTCACAGATTCTACACTGTTGCTCAGCTTTAACTTAATTTAGCTGCTTTCCTCCAAGTTTGATGGCATGGTAAGACCAGGGCAGCTCAGAGGAGATACAGAAATGCTCCTTGACTCAGCTCTCACAGTCACAATAACCTGGTGCCTTCCTCAGAGGTATTAATTGGGTGTCCCATGATTACAAATGAGCTGCCACAGCTCTGCAGACACAGACACCACCTAACAAAACTCCTGAAATTAGCACTTGATGAACTATCAGCCTGAAACCAAATTTTCCTTGTGCAGAGGGGGCAAGGAAGGCACTGGTTTGCACAGGGTCTAAATGGGTTACATTTCCTGCAATTTCTGTCTTGCCATGCAATGTTTTCTAAGGCACTCCATCACCTGGGACTGGAGAACAGCCTCCAAGGCCAAAACAGAGGAGTGAACTCAAAGAGCCCAGGTCACTGTGGCACCTAGGGACAGGGTTCAGTGAAGGACTTGGCAGTGGCGGGGGAACAGTTGGGCTCAGTGATCTCAGAGGTCTCTTCCAACCTAAATATTTCCATGATTTTGTCTCTCCCTGCAGTACTGGCTGCTTCAGAGGAGCCTGTGCAGCGGCCAGGGGAAGGGAGCAGCAGAGCCCAGAGTGCATCCCTGCAGGATTCCTGCCTGGTTACCTCGTCAGGGCGCGTCAGGATTTTTTCCTCCAAGCGGTTCAGCACGCGCTCGATTGCGGACATGCGAGTGTTGAGCTCATGGATCTACAGGAAAGGGGAGAGAGAGGGAGAGGGAAAAGGAGGAGAGAACAGACCAGCCACCACTCAGGACAGTGAGGAAACCAGAAGAGGAAAGCAAGCAGGGCACTGCCACCGTGGGCAGAGTTAAAAGGCATTAAAAAATAATATCTTTTAAGTAATGTCTTAAAAGTGCCAGTAAGTTTCAGGAGATGCAGAGCAACCTCAAATCTGGAAAACTCCAAGCAGTGCCGAGCCCCCAGCACAAGACAATTCCCACCAAAGCATCTGGAGCTTTGAAGCAGTGAATGTAAAAAAAACCCCATCACCAATAAAAGCACCAGCCTGTAATAAAGCCACCCATCTCACCATCGTTCCCATGCTGCCCCAAATTGAAGTCAACATCCATTTTCACTTCCTACTAACATGTTTTTCAAGCTGTAACCACCCCATCACATGCCTGCCAACACAGTGGTGGAGAGAAATCCACAAAAATTCAGAGTAGAAAAACCTGAAAGTCTTCCCTACCACTTTGAAATTTTCTCAGTTCTCTGTGCATGATTTACCCAGATGCCCGCTCCTCTCTTCTCCCTCACTCTTCTGACTAAAATGGGGCATGGAGAGAAGGGCAGAGAAATTAAAGACAGACAGAACCCTGAAAATCAAAGAGAAGTTACTTCCTGTGCTCAAGAACCGAGACAAACCTTTGTGGTGAGGGTGGACTTGGATTAGACATTAGGAAGAAATTCTTCCTGTAAGGTGGGGAGGCCCAGGCACAGGGTGCCCAGAGCAGCTGTGGCTGCCCCTGGATCCCTGGAAGTGTCCCAGGCCAGGCTGGACAGGGCTTGGAGCAGCCTGGGACAGTGGAAGGTGTCTCTGCCCATGGCAGGGGTGTGGAATGAGATATTTTTCAGATCCATTTAAACCAAAACATCTTTATTATCTATGATCACTGTAAACATTAAAGGAAGCTTTTTTTTTTTTTAATCCCCTTTAGAAATTGAAGTTTTTCTTTCTTTGAAAAAAAAAAAAAAGTCTCTTTCCTTTGATCCAGACAAATAAAACATAAATGATGATAAATATTGCCTGGTTTATGGCACTACCAGTGCATCACTGCTGTTCTGAGTGGCTTCTGCCCATTCAAAGGGGAGCAAGCAGCAAAAGCAGTAAGCAGAGGTGGCAACAAAGAGATGTGAGGGGCGGGCTTTGTTTCTACAACAATTTACATCCTCTCACTTAGTTTTTGTACTTGCCAGCCTTTGATTAATTAGACCCTCACAACAGATAGGGATGATTGCATCTGCTTAAGGGAAGATGAATATAAAAACCCGGCGGTGTGGAGAGCAGAGCTGTCATTACCACCCCGAAGTGAAAGCATCTCTAAGCAGCATTAAACGCCCTGGCAGGAAGCACTTCAGCCCATTGCTAAGAGGTTTTTCAGTCCTGTCTAAGGCCTGAGTCTTGCATGGCTCCCAGTGACAATGAGAAGCCTCTGATGAGGCATCAGCCTCAGAGATGGTGACAAACCAGGAGTCACCACTGCCCCATCTCCATGAGGAAGAGGCTGGGAGAGATCAGAGCCTAAAGCACGGGCTGCTGTTGATATTGATGGATACCTACCAGGATAGGAGCTGAAAAGCTTCATTCTCCTTCCCAGTCAAGGCTGGCTTTAATGCACCCCGTTAGGGCACATCTCCATCAGGAACTGGGTCACCCTGCACTTCTCCCAGTGTGACAAAGGCTGGCAAACTGTGCTCTGCACTAAAACACTTCAGGGGAAATAAGCTTAAAGCACAGCCCATAACATCAGGTAGGGGAAACTACCCCTTGCTGCTGAGGAGGGAGGACAGGTTACTCTACCCAAGCCTCTAACAGAAGCTTTTTGTAAAGGACCAGACACCATCAAAGCTTTGGGAGTCCAGAACTACTGAGCTCAAAGGTACAACACGATGGCTTCTGGGAGAAATTTGGGAAATTGGAGCTATTCCTTGTGGCTTGGTCCTGTTGCTACCTGACTTTTAAAAACCTGAAGGCAAACACCCACACAGTTACCAATTCAGGGCTTTTTTTTTTTTTTTCTTTTTTTTTCTTTTGTGTCTCATCAAATTTAAGTGCTTTTTTTTTTCCTTTTTTTAAAGTTTTGTTCTTGATGCTTCAGCTCTGGAGTCACAGGACTAGGGAACAGCCCCTGATTTAGTTAGAGCTGGGTGAGGAGCAGGCTGGGTGGCAGGATGGTTGCTGGCTGTAAACACATCAGCAGCACAAAGGGCAGGGAGGATGAGGAGCTATTGAAGCTAATTAGCAACGCTGCCACAAGAGCAAATGGGGGTAAAGTGGCAGTGAGAAGATGCCTCGTAACCATTAGGGTGACAAGGCTCCACACCAGCCTTCCTCCAGGTGTGAGGGAACAAACCACAGCCCGATGTGGGATGTGGGAGCTTCCCCAGCTCCTGGAGGAAGTCGTGGGAGGCGTTGGTAGGAATTTGGGCTCATTTCCCCACTGTAAAGCATGGTGCACATTTCATGCCTAACACAGCGTGGCCTCATTAAGGACACCCAGTCCAGGGTTCTCCCATTTACTGCTGGCTGAGGAAGGAAAGGCATTTGCTAATTAAAACCTGTGCCCACAGAAGAAAATGGCAAAGAGAAGCTTTGCCTACCCAGGCACATAAAGTGTGGTGCTGAGGGGTGGTTGTGGTCTCAGATCTCACACTGATTGCCCAAAGAGGGGTCCAGGACATGCCAAATTACCAGCTGTGAGACTGGAAAGTGATAATGCCCCTGCATCTGCAGCCAAACACCACCCTGCATTCTGCTGCTCATGAGATCTGAGGAACCAGATCAGCTTTACCATCCTCAGCACCCACCACTGGCAAAGGGAGCACCAGGCACAGCAGGTCCTTGCTTGACAATTAAAACACAAGCTTAGATCCTGTTTGACTCCTTTCTTTAGGATGTTCCCCCCATTACCATCGCTCAGGAGAGGTATGTGACAGGTCATCCTGACCCAGTCCTACCCAGGCAGGAACACACTGCAGAGGAAGAGAAGGATCTTGGTGCTTATTAAATATCCATCTCCAGACCTCCATCTGGTTATTAAGCACTGGCACAGCCCATTTAAGCAAGCCTTTCTGGAGACACAAGAACCCACAAGTAACTCAGATTAATAAGGACAAGCTGGAAAATGAGCAGCAACAAGGGCAGGTTTGTTATTGTGATGGCAGCAAGGGCCATGGAAGCACCAGCCAGTGCCTGCTTTTCTTTGTGCTGTGACTGGAAAAGCACACCCCAGCTGGCCATTGCTGCTCCTCTTCTCCCCTGAACCACCCTGCACCTCAGAGGCAACAAGGGGGACGTGGCCACGGGCTGGGTGTCAGCAGAGGCTGTTTGGTACCTGGTTGGAGGAGTGGCTGATGTTCTCCTGGGAGGAGGCTCTGTTCCTGCGTTTGGTGGCATGGGGTGGGAGCTGGGCTCCCCTCACGTCCTCGTCGGAGGTGTCCATGTCGGCCGAGTACCGCGCCCGGGGCGGCTCGTTCCAGGGGATGCCTTGGGAGAGAAAGGCACAAGGCATTCACAGGGATGCCTCAGGGTTTAGCTTTTATAGTTTTCAGATCCTGTGCTGCTTTTAGTGTGTAGTTCTGAGCTTCATATTAAGGGATAGCAAGCTCTCTTCACAGAGTGGGAAGACAAAACAATTCCTTCTCTAGCTGGGAACCAAGGACAAATAATCCAAATCTCAGGCCCAAGAGCATAAACAACATGAACTGAAGAGAGAAAAACAAGCAGGATGGGACTTCATAACCTAAAGCTGTAATTGGACAATTAACTCCAGTATACAAATGGACCAGAACTTATAAAAGTGAGAGACCCCATGACCTGTCATCCATTTTGTGACCATTTTGGTTCATCTTGGGTGCAGCCCTGGCTGGGCTCTTGTGCTGCCCAACGTGTAACCATTAAGACCTTCTAATAAATCACTGCTTTATTCTTTACCTCTGCCTAGCCTCTGTTCTAGGTCAGCCTTCACGAGGCATCAACACCCCTGAGCTCCTTCCAGGACATCCATCCTTAAGACAAGGAAATAAAGAGGCATTTCCCCAAATCAGACTTCCTACCCTTTGGCAGGAGATGCTTCTGCAAGCCAGACCAAGGGTAAGGATGGACCAGGCTGCAGCCCCACAGGCTGTGCCCACACAGCACCGAGCACAGCAGGGTCCCACACAGGACACGAGGAGCACCATCCCTGCTGTCATGCCCTGAACAGCCTCACCAAAAACCACTACTGCCTTCCCAATTTTTTGGGAGCCAAGGTTTGGATGTTGCCCTTTGTGCACTGCCCAGGTGCTGGAAGATGTTTAGGCTCAGGCTAGAGAGGTGCCAGCCCAGGATGGAGCATTTAAAAAGAGTGGAAAGTCTCCTGTGTAAAGGAGAATTACAAATGAGACAAAAACAATGAGAGAAAATGGAATTAACACGGCAGGGGACCTTGCTGCTGTGATGCTCCAGCAGGACTTGGAATGGGAATTTAAACAGCCATGTTAAGGTCTACCCAGCATTCCCAAATGTCCTGAAAATACATCCAGGCCACTGGAGACACAGAAGGACATATTCTACATTTGCATATGCACAAGCCAATATCCAACCCTCCTGGTTCTGCCATCACTGAGGGGAAAACAGAGGTGGTAAAAGGCAAATTCTGCCTCTTAGAGGGTATTTATAGACTCACAGATCCACAGATCATTTAGCCTACCCATGCACCCTGCCCAGCTACAAGGATGCCACTTAGCAACCTCCAGTTCTAGTCCAAATCCCCTAAAAATTCAAAGCTTTCTGCAGCCACAACATCCTTTACTAAGGAGTTGAACTCCTCTGCCTGCAGTGGGAAACACATCCCATTGTTTCTAGCATTTGATTGTGCCTAGTTTCTACCCTGGAAATCACCACTAGGTATGAAAGGTATGGACACCTTAGGAACAATCCTTTGGCTTTGTTGGGAACCAGACCAGCCCTTTTACAACTAAATAACAACAAATAATCAGCAAGACTCTTTCCTAAGAAAAACCCCTTTTTGCAGACGGATAAATCGTGTTGACCCTCTTAGGGGCTTTGAGGTTGTTCAGAAAAAAACACAAAGACGTTTTCACTTTGATCTAACACTTGCAGCTGCTTGTCCCAAGAGGATACAAGAGGAATCTGGCCAAGGACACCCACCAGGCTTTGGGTTTCTTTCCAGGCTCCTCCTCCGTGCGTTGACAGTGAGCCGAACCTCGGTGCTGAAGTGCTGCTCCGGAACGCTCACCCCCGGCTCCTGCAGGACCTGGTGGAACACCAGGTCTGCATCCGTGATCCTGGACTCCTGGGAGCCATCTTCAGCTGAGTTGGGGAAATCTGGGAAGGACTGAGAGTTGAGGATGCTGCTGAGCAGCTGCCCACGGAGATTTCACTTGTGTGACCCCACCTGTAGTGCTGCCTCCAGCTCAGGGGCCCCCAGAGTAAGAAAAGTGTGGAGCTGTGGCTGCTCCTGGATCCCTGGAAGCATCCAAGGCCAGGCTGGGAGGGCTTGGAGCAAGCTGGGATAGTGGAAGGAGGTGGAATGAGATGATCTTTACAGTCCCTCCAGCCCAAACTATGATTCTACGATTCCTTGTCTCTCCTGACCTCCACTAAGAGCTCCTCTCTTCATTCTTCAATATATGCATGGATTGACCTTTTATAATGACAATTATATTTATATAAAATATAAAAGTTCCTAATAATCCCATGTAAAGGCTTTGCCTGGCTGCTGAACCCTGAGCAATACTTCCCATCACTGCCAGGGGGCAGTGGTAATTTTTACAAGCACAGAGTTCCTTCAGCCAGGCTGCAACACCCTCGGATCTTTGGAAACGCCATCCCCTTCTACTTATTCAAACAGCCACCACCTCAAATAATCTGTAATCCATAAATCCAGTTTGACAGAGGCCAGCCCTCACACTGACTTCTGCTGCAAACAGGGGGAAAAGACAAACAAAAAGAGGGATCTAATTATTTCCCCCAAATTCTAATAATCTTGTGTGGAGTTGTACAGATTTATTTATTTATTTATTCAAGTTGTTGTTACAGATCTCGGTACATCCTATTTCTACCCAAGAATAGTTTAATCAGAGCATTGTTAAAAAGAAGGAGCTGTTTAATGCTTTAAAAGCGCAGTTTCACCAGGAAAGGCAAACAAGAGCAGCCCAAAACGCTGGATCTGAAGCCTCCCAGGCTGGAAGAGCTTTTGCCACACCCAGGGTGGCCCCACCTGTGTTCCCCCCAGAGCAGGAAGGTGGGGTTGGTCAGCCCTGGCCCTAGGTGGGATCACAGGGCACAGCTCACTGCACTGTCTGGATCTGCCTGAGTCCTGCTCCTGGCCAGAAGCTCTGGATACTAAGGCACATCCAGTCTCCTATTTAGAAGCAACCAGCATTCCTGCAGTGTTCGTCCTCCCAGTGTTCATCCCTCTGGCTGGCTCTCACTCATGCTGGCTCTGTGGGATTCATCTCAACCTCACAAAGGTCGTGTGCCTCATGGAGCTGCTGGCCAGCTGCACCCCAGTGCCACCACACGGCAAATCCAGCCCCAAACTGGATGGGAAGAACATGGGAGAAGAACTTGATTTCATTTAACCCCTCGAGCACTGAATCTGCTGGAAACCAGGGTGTGTTCCACAGCCTTGGGACAACACAAGAAACCCATTGTCTGCTGAGAGCAAGGAAATCTGCAGGGACAGGGCCAGAGAACCTCCTGCTGTCTCATCTTAGCACTCATCCTCACTTGGATCAGATGTCCTGCTCCTGACCTGGCCTGAGGCAAAGGACTTCAGTTGGAAGAAGAGATCACAGTGATGAGGATCAGGGACTGGCACATTGCCTCCCAACACCAGCTGAAGGAGCTCTGAGGCTGAAGGAGCAGTGGCAGCAAGCAAGGAGAAGGAGGAAGAAAGGAAAGAAACCCCCCCTCCAGGAGTCTCCCAGTACCTGGAAAGCATCCGGGCTGCTGGCTGCTGGAGAGAGCTGCACAGACTGGCGGCGAGACTGAGCAGAGTAATCCGAGTCCAGTTCGAAATCAAAGGGGTGCACAGACAGCAGCCGCTTTGTCTTGCACATCTTTAGCACAGAAAGTGCAAGAAAGGCAAATTCAGTGTAAGACAAGGTTGACCTTGAGGAAAGGGGGAGGGAGGACCTTTCTCTCCTTAGTTTGCCTGAGTTTGCTCTGCTTTTTGCAGAGAGAATTTGGGCCTGACGCTGTCCTGCTTGAAGGGAACCAGGTACAGCGTGTGTTTGTGCCAAAGGCAAGGAAAAGTGGGTTCCTGATTTCCACAGCCTCTGTAAGCAGAGTGAGAATCTCTCTCGTGGTTTATAAGGGCACTCTGGGAAAGCTGAGCCAGGTTACAGCTCAGAGCTGATGCTTTTGAGCCCTGAAGCATCTCCCCATCCTCAGAGGGAGGATGTTGCAGGCAGATCTCTCTGAATATTTGAGAGGTCATTAGTAAAAAAACCCCAAAGTAGGTGGGTTCTCATTATACAGGTGGGAGCTGGGATTTGTATATTAATTGGTGATGTCCATAGTGTTAGGAGTGGTTCTTTTTTCCAGAGCACAAGTATTTGTGAAGTTACTGACACGGTTGTTTTTACACAAACTGAGAGAGGAGCTTATCTCAGAGAAGAAAAACAGAGGGAAAGGTCCAGTTTTGAAAGTGGCACAGGAAGCCACCACCACCATCACCCAGGGCAGGCCAGGGACACGGAGCGAGGCAGGGGCAGCTGCAGAAGCAAACACTCACCCTGCTGTAGCACTCTGCTTCAGCCCCACGAAGGACATTGTCTTCCTCATCGCTGTCCTCCCCGGCGTCACAGCTGCTGAGCAGCTGGCACTCTCCTGGAGGGGACACAGGCAGCAGGTGAGTGTCCCCACCCTGGTGGTCACACCAGTGTGCCTGCAGGCGAGGCCATGCTTCTTACGTGGGGTGAAAAAACCCAGACTAGAAGCAACTCCCCAAATTTTTTTTCTGCTGGCCTCTCATTGCTTCCCCTGCCAGATGTGCGCCATCACAGGTGTGGAAGTGAAGGGGCACCTGCACCACAGAGAGCACCCCGAGGGCCACCTGGGTAACTCCAGTGCTTGAAGGCTCAGGAGCTATTCCTGATTCCCATAGTTCTTCTATTTATCAATGACCCATTGCTTTGAGACAAGGAGTGCTTGCAAACTTCAAGTTTGGCATGTAACTAAAAGCCCTGTTGCATCCAAATCTACCCTTGGAGCCCCCAGATGTACCACAATGCAGGGATTGGGCACTGCAGTCCATCTCCACTGCAATGCAGGAATGCTTTCCCTGGTCTGACCACTCCAAATCTCCTCAGAAGTGCCCACAGCTGAGGGGGATGTGAAGACATAAAGATTTTGGGAAACCTTGCTTGAACTGCAAGCCCCCTGCTGCAATCCCCTTTTTTACTTACTGTTAATGTCTGGCAGGCTATAAACTCTGTCATGAAGACCTAAACAAAGGGAAAAATGGTGGAAAAAATGAATAATCACATTTTCTTCCTGTTCCTCGAGCAGACAGCAAGCCTCAGAGCCATGGCTGACTGGAATTCTCATTCTCTAGCCATTACAAGAAACAATGGTTAAAAAGGCTCTTTAAAGAGAACAAAACAGGAGCTTGGAGACAGGACTTGACTTTTAGAAGTCAAAGAGCTGCTCGCCACTGCTTCCCCAGGCTGATGTGACATGCCTGGGAGCTGCAGGGGAAGGCACAGCCAACTGCAGATGGCCAGAGATACATCCCAGGAGGAGATTCTTGCTTGCTCATGGGTCAAGCCAATTCACTGGTGTTAATGAAGTAATAAACAACAAAATCATTTCCCTTTGAAAAAGGCATCAGAATCTCAATTTAAAGCAGCCCAAGGCGCTGTTACCCTCATGCTTGGTTGGGTTTTTGTGTGCTCTGATGCGTTTTCGGTCCAAACAATGCATGGATTGTCTCTCAGTCCATTAATTTTTTTTTCCCTGCTATTTCTGCCATGAGTTGCCTGGCTAAAAGAGTGATTGGAGCAGTTGAAACAGATCATGTCAATGGTACGTGTGCAAACTTTTCTGTGGCTCCTCAAGATGGGAATAAACTCCACATTGGCTTCCAAAGGAAACAGGCCAAGGAGTAGGAGGTCTATGAATAACAACTAGGAGCTGGTTAGTAATAATGCTATATTAATATAATCATATATTCATGCACTATTGGACCAAAATCAGAACTATGGAAGGTCCATGAAGCTCTGAAGAAAACAGTTATGGTGACAGGTAGCTCACCAATTTTGGCACAGTTCTGTCAGTGCCAGGGGACAATCAGGTTGGTTGCAAAAATCATCAGGTCTTGGGGAAAAAAAAATGAGGGCTGGCTTTATCCTGCAGGTTAAACTAGGGTTAATTTCACAAGCTCTGTGATGAAAAAAAAACAAAAATAAAGAAAAAAAAAAAGAGCTGCAAATTTACATACTTACAAATTGCAGGACATGGGACTTTGAAAATTATGAGAGATATTAGGGAATGAGATATTACGGAATGTTTTTCATTGAAAAAGTGTTCAAGGAAGTCACAATCCTTGGAAGGGTTAAAAAAACACATGGATCTGGCACATGGGGATGTAGTTTAATGGTGGTCATGGTAGTACTGGGTTGGACTGGATGATCCAGAGGTATTTTCCAGCTGTAATGATCTTACATTCTCCAGCCTGTGGTAAAAACTTAACAGTAGAAAAGCCATCAAGAACACCTGCTCTGTGTCTGAATGAACAACCCTGAACCTCTGCTTCCTCCCTGGGATGTTTTGGGGTTGGTCCCCCACGACACCAGAGCAGCACCACCACTGCTGCTCCCCGAGGCGGTGCAGCACAGATTCCCCAGGAGCAGCAGTGGCCATTCCTCACCCAGAAAGGCAGAGTTGAGCCCCTGGCCCGGCTGCAGCCTGCCATAGAGGGACTGCAGGACTTTGGCACTTCCAAACCTCTTGAAGCGGGACCGCACGTGTTCGTAGTACCACTCCAGGGAGCCGATCTTCACGATCCTGCCCAAAGAGAGGAGGCACGGCCAGGTGAGCAGACCCTCACCCAAAAAAGCTGTATCTTAACAAAAACACGGCATGCTTTCATCTAAAAGGATGCTGAGTTTGGGCAAGTCTTGCTGAGCCTCATCACCTTGTCCCTCAGAGCAGAGCAGGAGGAGTGGTGTTCCCAGGGGCGGATACAGGGACTGGAATTCTTTAACATGTATGTTGGTGACATGGGCCCTGGGATTGAGTGTTCCCTCAGTTCACTGACACACCAAGCTGTGTGGTGCTGTCACACGCTGGAGGGAAGGAATGACACCCAGAGGGACTGTGGACAGCCTGTAGAGGTGGGGCTGTGAGAAACTCATGTGGCTCAACAAGGCCAAGTGCAAGGTCCTGCCCCTGGGTTGGAGCAATCCCAAGTGAATATACAGGCTGGGTGGAGAATGGATTGGGAACAGCTCTGGGGAGGAGGAATTGGGGATGCTGCAGGGTGAGAATATTGATGAGAGCCAGAAATGTGCACTGGCAGCCAGAAATCCCCTCATGTGCTGGGCTGATCCCCCAGCGTGGGCAGCAGGGGAGTGGGGGATTTTGCCCCTCTGCCCCAGTCAGGTAAGACCCCACCTGCAGAGCCACCTCCAGCTCTGGGGTCCCCAAAAAAAGGACATGGAGCTGCTGGAATGAGACCAGAAGAGGCCACAAAGGTGCTCTGAGCTCCTCTGCTCTAGAGCCAGGCTGGGGGAGCTGGGGGTGCTCAGCTGGAGAAGAGAAAGCTCTGGGGAGACCTCAGAGCCCCTTCCTGTGCTTAAAGGGGCTCCAGGAAAGCTGGAGAGGGACTTGAGATAAGGGCTTGGAGTGACAGGACAAGGGGGAATGGCTTCCCACTGCCAGAGGGCAGGGTTAGATGGGATATTGGGAAGGAATTCTTCCCTGTGAGGGTGGGGAGGCCCTGGCAGAGGTTGCCCAGAGCAGCTGTGGCTGCCTCCTGGAAGTGTTCCAGGCCAGGTTGGATGGGGCTCTAATGAAAGGGCAGGGGGGTGGAACTGGATGGGCTTTCAGGTGCCCTGCAGCCCAAGCCATCCTGTGATTCCCCGAGGAGCAGCACCTGGAGAGGCGGCAGGGATCGCAGACCCAGCCCTGCTCCTTCTTGTTGTAGCGGCTGCAGTTCTTGCAGGTGTAGAAGCGGCAGTCCAGGCACTGCCGCTTGCTGTTCAGCAGGAACTTGAAGGGCTGCAGGCAGTGCACACAGTGAGTTTCGTTGAGGTGGGACTGACTGGTCAGGAACTCTCTCTTGCTGCTCTCCTGGTCGATCTTGCATTTCAGCTCCCTGCAGAAAACACCCCCCCCCCCAAAAGCAGGAGCTTGAGTTTGTTATTGTCTCACTGCAAACTCTCACGTGGCAGAGCCCATCACGCCACAATCATTTCGGGAACGATTTTCCAGGGAACATTGCAAGTCTGCAGCTTGTGGAAACAGCTGTAGGGCAAATCTAATAAATAACATATCACGAGTTAAATAAGCTAAGAACAAAGTGGGCTCCAAAATCAGGACGGTTAACTGGAGTTTAATACTAGATTTAATTTAATATTAGAATCACAGAATATTCTGAGTTTGACAGGACCCACAAGGATCATAAAAAAAAAAAAGGGATTGTGCCAAAACCTGTCCTGTTTGTTTCACAGGGTGTTGATCATTAATGCCAGGAACCTCGGGAGAGCAGCTCTTCTCAAACCCTGTGGCTGTATCCCAACATGACACAATCTTCAAGCCTGGAGTCCTGCAGGGAATTAAAATCTTTCTGGAATTCTTAGTTTAAAAAAAGGGGGGTGGGGGGGGGGGAAAGAAAAAAATCTGGGATTAAAAAGGATTAAAAGAGGTTTTAATATAGTCCTACAGCACTAAAAATTCAGCAGACCACTTTATAAAATTATGTGCAGCAAGGTTCTGGCTGTTCAGGGGATGCAGCAGGAGGAGAGGCTTGTGACAATCCCATGAAAGGGAAGCACTTTCCAAGAGCACCTTCACCTGGCAGTGCATCCCTGCAGGCTTCCTTCACTATCCAGACCTGGCTGCCAGAGCAGATCCCCTTGGGAAGGAGTGTCTGGACAGCTGAGATGCCTGCCAGGCCGGTGGGGCACCCTGCACTGCCCAAAAGCTCTCTGTTTGCTGCCCGTGCCACGCACCGCCTCAGGTATGTTTGCCTTTGGGGCCATGGCTGAAAGGAAAATGTTTGACTTGTAGGGAAGGTGCTAGAAAGTTGTTTTCTCTCTAGACAGGGTTAGGAAGCTGTGTTTTCCAGAGCAGGAGTCAGCTTGGGTTAAACCCTCAAGGGATCAGGTCTGGAGGCCGCTTCAGGATCACAGTGTGGACCACGAGGCACTGGTGATGCTCCCAGTGACGCCGGGGTGACCACAAAGGAGCTGGGGTGACCACAGCAGGAGCCTGGCTGGCCCTGGGAGCAGTGGTGTGACTGGCAGTGGGAAGGGCAGGCATGTCAAGCAAGCTAATCTCTGTTTATCCTAATCAGTTTGCACATTAGGACTCAGCTTTTGATTTTTATTTTTTCCCGAGGAAGAATTTTCTGGCCACCTGGCAGCCAGCGCACTGCAAGACACATTTTTTGGTGTCACTCCTCTGCTTGTGGTCACGCAGGAGTGACACCAACTTGCATTTGCATCTGGGAGATGTAAAAACCAGCATAAAGACAGAAAACTGGGCACGTGGTTTGTATAATCAGCCGTTCACCATCCCAGCAGTGATTTGCACAAACTGGTGCAAATGTCCCAGCAGTAAATTTAAGTGACTTCTGAAAAGAAACCCTCATACAGAAAACCCTTGGGTTGGACTCTGTACTCCTTTTCCACTCCCGTGCTAAGGCTGTTGCCAGCAGGATCTGATCTTTTTTACTGGAACTGCTTTTTCTGGTTCCCAGAGACCGGTTGGATCCCTTCAGCTCTCCTCCCTCACCCACCAGACCTGCCAAAGGAAGGAAGAGTCTCAGCCAAACCAGTTTAAAACCCGCAGGAACCGCATGCCTCTTGTCTCCTCTTGCTGGCAGGAGCACCAGCCAGCCCCTTCCCTGCTCTGCTCACGGCAGGATGAATAAATCTGTGGTGTTGGGATGCCAGCTGCAGCAGGGTTGGACCTACAGAGCCCCAGGAGAGATGCAGGGAGCCATCCCCCAAAAATGGGGTTGTGGGCATGGAAAGAATCAGGGAGAAACCCCTCAAAAGGGCCATTATTTAATTTTTTGGGCAAAGCATTGCCCTCACATGCCTGTGCAGCTTGAGGCCGGCTGAAGCCTTTGTCCCTTGTAGGTGAATAGCTTCTGCCAAAAACAAAATACAGAGAAGGAGCAAAAAGGGAAGAAAAAGACCAAGCTGGGGAGGGGGTGGACAGGACATTTCTTCAAGGCTGGCAGGTTGAGACAAGTCCGGGGAATAGAAAAGTAAATGAATAGAAAAGTAAATGGGGCTGGTCAGAGCACAGAGTGAATGGCTGCAGGGTCCCCCACAATGTCACGTCATGTCCCAGCTTGTTGCAGGCAGAAAATTCTTGTGTAGCTCCATGTCCAGCACCCAGGAATGTGGCATACTTTCCCAGGCTGGTGGTCTGGTCTGTTGCAGAAATTATTCAGAAAGTACAGAAATTTCTGTAGTACAGAATGCTTAATGCCAGCCCTCTGCAGGGCATGACTAAAGAAGAAAATAAAACTAAGAAACCAGGGGAAATGATCCTTAGGAGGAGAGACAGCAGCTGGGTAGGAGCATCCCAAGACCTTCCCCTATCCTGCATCTCCCAGAGCATGGAACTCAATTTGGAAGCTTCCCGGGCAGCAGAGAGGACCCAGATAAGCCAGTCTGGCGCCAAGGCCGAGTAAGGAAGGAATTCACCTCGCCCAGTTCTTTGCTGCAGGGCACAGCAATGTAGGTCTCCACCTCCTCCCTCCAGGCTGAGCTCAGATGCATCACAGGGGAGACATTCACCCTTTGCAGGGTGATAATTTTTTAAAACACCCCTGTCTGATCTCTTTCCTGCTCTTCAGAGCTACCAGCAGAGGAAGGCAGTAGTTGATGATATTGAATTATCTCTGCCTCCCACGCAGGCTGGCTTTTCTTAGGAAAAAAAAAAAAAAAAAAAAGAAATCAGGGGGATGAAAACTACACTACTGAGGGTTTCTTGTAGCCATTGGTGTAAATGGAGGAGTCCCACGACTGAAAGGTTTTGGGGCATGCAGATACCCCAAACCGAGGATGGCTATCGCTCCTCACCCCTCCTTTTGGATCTGACAGAGGAACTAATGAGCTCCTGCTCTCCAGGCATTGGTATCAGCACCAGCCCTGGCACATAAAATTCAGAGCTGGGAGGGTCTGAGGGCTCAGTGGGAGTGCAGCACAGCCCAAACCCAGTCTGAGAGCATGGACCATCCCTCTGGGATAATGAGAACTTGGCCAGACCCCGAAGAGGGTCACTGCAGCTTCTTGAAATATGTTAAGGCATTATTAAGTTCAGCATCTGATGTAGTTCATGGACAAAACCTGAACCTCTATGATTTCTCATGCTCAACATTTAATCTGATCTGACAGAACGTTTTTTAAACAGCACTTTCATCCAACACCCTGTTTATAAGGACTGAGAAGTTCATAGAATTTGCTGCTCCAGTGACTTTTCAATATTTTCCCAATCTGTGGGCCCCTAAAACCTTCCCAGGACAGCACAGCCCCCAGTACTGGGTATATAAGGCTACTAAAATAGGTTTACTAGTAGTAGTAGGTTTACTACTCCTCTCAGTTATTTTTCCAGGATTCTTCAGGGATCTGAGGATCCCAGGACTCACTGAACAACTCCTGCCCTAAACACACGAGACCCATCACATGAAGCAAAACCAAGGCAGCCAAACCCCATGCTCTGCTCCCGGGTGAAGCCTCCCCTGGAGAGCCCCACCAGCCTCCAGCCTCACAGAGGCATTTCCTGGTATTTGTCCCCATAAAGTGCGGCGGTGTCACCGATCCGCATCGCTGCCGGTGGCACGGCGCCAGTTTGCACCTTTGCTGCCCGAATGCGTCACCTTGCCGCTGATAACGCAATCTATTAACCGTGCTAGGCTTCCACAGCCCGGTCTCCTGCCGTGCCTCCTCGCCCACAGCCTCAGCAGGTTGTTTTATCCCTACAGCCCACGGGGACCCGAGGTCCCGCTTGGTTTGCCCCCAGCTCAGGCACGGGAGAGCAGATACTCACTCCAGCCGTTCCTCCTCTTTTTTCCGCAGATCAAAGTCCCGCTGAACGACCTCCCAGACATGCTTGGCTTCTTCATCGGTGAGCTTGGAGAGGTCCAGCTTCCTGCCCATCTCGTCGCGGCGAGGCTGGCAGCCGATCCCGTTAGTCGCTACCCCCGAGCGCTCGCTGTCCCGCAGCCCGGGATGCTGCTGACGAAGGGGGAAGAGCTCAGCCCCACCTCCGCGGCTGCCCATATAACCGGGCAGGGGCAGAGCTGCGGGCAGGCCAGCCGGCTCCTGCCAGCACCGCAGCCGCTCTGCCGGGCGAGCCTGCCCGCGGAGCAGGGCTGGCACGGCGCCTATCGGCTGCGGGGACTCTGGGTACCAGGGAGGCCGGCCCTGCCTTCCCCCGGGGTCCTGCCCGCGGCTGCAGCCGCTCCAGACCTCGCCCGCCTGGCTGGGGCTACGGGAGATGTTTACTCTGCGCAGGGTGTGCGGATGAAAGGGAGCCTTCAAACGCCTCCCCGGGGAAGGCAGGCCACGGGCTTTGGGAGGGAGCGGAGCATCCCCGGGAGGAGCTGTGCCTGCGCGCCCGGGAGGACCGGCTCCATCGCGGGGCCTCGTGCCCCGCCAGGATGCTCCGCTCCCCTGCCCGCTCTGCTGTGTCTCCTTACACTGATCTTGCCCCCAGCAGTAGTTTGTGAGGAAAACTTGAGCGCATCTGGCTTCGCCCCACACCAGAGACTGGCGTCCCGAACTGCTCCCACAGCAATTTGGGCAGCTGAGCTTTGCTGGTGGCAAACAGCTTAATTAGGACGCAGCACTTCCCTCGTTTGCCGTGAGCAAGGCAAGACGGTTTGACAGGATTTTAAGAAAAGTGCTAAATACACCACATAACCAAAGAGATATAAATTGTAATATATATATATCCGACTGCCGAGGCTGCTCTCTTTTTCAGTGTAACACTCCCTCTGTGTCTAGGGATATTAAAGTAAACCCATTTCTCACCTTCATCTGAGCAAACATTGACAGTACTTTATTTTCTATGTATTTTTTTCCACCCTGACAGGAATGTAAACAGGGAGCAAGACAGCAAGACCAAAGAGGAAAACTTCTGCCTGGTGGGACTAAAATCCCTGCTGCCCACCCAGGGGTACAGGGAATTATCCACCCCGGTAACTCACTTGAAACAGAGATTAGATTAAACTCTACGAACAGAGCCAGAAAAACATTTTGAACCCAAATTAGGATGGATTTTGTGCAGGAAAGGTGATGCCTACAGATGCAGCGTTTGAGCTTGGATATCGGGAATGCATGATCTTCTCTGGAAGCCAGGAATTGATTTCCAGCTGCTGGTCCAGCAGAGATCCCGGCAAAAACAATCAGTTTATTGGCAGGAGGCAGACATCAGTGGGGCAGGTCCTTATGTAAGCGTGTTTGAGAGCCCTTGCGCCCCGCTGCACCCGAACAGGGAGCGGTCAATAGCTCCTAATTAACATCACAACGAGACCCTGTTCCAGGGCCTCCCGCTCCAACCACGCCAGCAGCTCCGACCGCCCCAGATCCCAATACAGTCTCCTCCAAAAGGATAAAGAGGTTGCGTTAAATCAGGAAGATGTGGCCTGCAATGAAAATGGGGGGAAATGCAAGTGTTCGGCAATGCCAATACCCCCTAAAAAGGGCTGGCTTAGCCAGAAAACCACCTCAAGGGAAATGTCCCGGGTGCAGGAGCAAATTCAAAGTATTCCGTTGGCAAACTATTGCCTGGGAACAGAATCTTGTCAGGAAAACTCTCCTCCCTCAGCTCACTGATGTGTATAACAGCAAAGATAGAACGGTTTTCTTTTTTTTTTTCCCCTCTCTTTCAAAGCAGTTTGTTGGATTTTGTAGCAGTTCAGACCCAGCAATCACCAGCTTCCAGCAATCCTCTGCCTTAAAGGAGGACAATTAAACCTGCCCACCCACAGCTCCCTCTCCCATCATACAACCGTGAATGAAGGCTCCCAAATCTTACAAACTCATGCAAAAGGAAAAAAAAAACCCAAAAAACAAACCACACACCCAGAACCTCTGAGGCAGACACTGCCACATGGAAGCCTTCAAAAAAGATGTGTATGCAGCACTTGGGGACATGGTTAGTGGTGGAAATGGCAGTGTTAGGTTAATGGTTGGAGTCAGCCTTAGAAGCCTTTTCCACCCTTTATGATTCCAAGTTGTAGGGCCAGATGATGTTATATGTCTGCCTAAGTCCACCAGCCCCTGCAGTGGCCACGCGTGTGGGGTGGAGATCAGGAGCAGGGATGTAAAGGAAAAGTGATGTGTTTCCTGTTAGCTGGAGGCTAAAATGGACCTTGATTCCAGTTGAATTGGGGACCTGATGGCAAAATGGGAGAGGGAAGTGTCATAAGCTAAGCCTGTCCTGGGAAACCAGGCATGGATGGATCCCAGGCTCCATTTCTGATTTTCACTATTGCCACGTGAGGAAAATAATGGATTTCTGGGGTATCTTTAAGAGAAATGCACTTCTAGCTGCAGGGCCACTTTAAAAAACAACAGTCACATGAGCTGTTATCTTTGCAGTTCTTGGTAATTATTTGTAAGACAACTGTGAACTGATATATGGGACATGTGGCCTGGCCCTCCTCCAGCCATTCATTTCACAATGTTTTAACTGATAACTGCAAGCAAATCCATAATCAGAGTTCAACAAAAGAGATGAGTGAAGATAATACCCAGTTGCTTCTAAAGACAGCAGACACCACCTCGATGAAGCCACCCAACACCCCCACACCCTCATTTTCTTCCTGCTGAAGGGGTCCCTGTTTGGCCAAACCAAGGGGCAAAACCCCAATAATTTCTCCAGTGCCTTAAGTGCTGCAGAGGGAAGATGCGCCCACACCAGGTGCTGAAATGGTGATTTGCAGTGGAGTCAGCTCCAGCTTTGCTTCTCACTCCAACACCACTGATGGGTGTTTTGGCTTTCCTCAGCACAGGGTCATCCCAAACACCTGGCCAAGCTAGAGGAGTTTCCAAAAGCCAGATGGAGTCGAACCAGGAGCATCCACCAGCAGCTCCAGCCCGTTTCAAAGCCACAGGCAGAGAGGTCACAGGACCCTTACTCACAGGAGCATAACAAAAACAGGAGCTCCAACAAGCACTGACCCCAGTTGCTGCTGACTCCAGGAGTTTCCTGGGTGCCTCTGCCCCCCATCCTCCTGCAATCATCTCCAAGTCATGAGATCTCCCTGGGATGGCATTCCTATTTCCTTTCAGTTTCCTGGCAGCTTTACAAAGACACCTTATCACCACCATCATACTGGAGAAGAGCAAGCAGGACAGGGAAGGAGCGTACAATGCCGCTGCTATTTCTGTATGTGACTCACGAGGGATTGCCATGGGTTTCATCTATTAATACAGCAATTAAATTATGCTATGGCATGACCACATCTCATTTGGAATGACCCCAACAGCCTCACTTAGAGAAAATAACCATTCAACTTTAATTGTCACGGATAACGATGCTCTGACATCTGTAGCAATTAGGAAACTATCACTGAGAACATGAATACAAAGTTTGTGGAGTGTCATTTATGGGGTTGAAGATATAAGGACATTTTTTCCCAACCAATGTGACTATTAGGGAGCCCTCTCTGCCCCCTCAAAAACCCCATGAGCCTCACAGCACTGACAGCCCCCCAAAGCCCCCATACCCTACACAGACCTCAGAGCCCACATACCCCAAAGAGACCTCAAAACCCTGACAGCCCTCACATCCCTAACACACCCCATAACCCCTAAAAACCCCGTAGCTGTCACATCCCTCATATATCAGGTAGCCCTTACAGACCCCATAGCCTACACAGACCCTACAGGCCTTAGAGCTCCCGTAGCCCTCACAACCCCATGGGACCCATACCCAAATTATGGGAAAATGGGGTAATATCCTTAATTTTTAACACTAAAAAGGTGAGGGACAACAGGGATTCCCTCTCAATTTAAACCTTAAGATTATTAAAATGGGGGGGGGGGGGGGGGGGGGAGTGGGGGGGGGTGTTGCCCTCAATCCAAACCCATCATATGACATAAAAAAGAACTTTCCCTTCCACTTCAACTGGAAAATGAGGATTCCTGGTCAATTAATTGATACCTCTAAAAACACAGAAAAGGCAGGTTTTCCTTCAATTTATAACCTTTTAAATCACAGGTGAAGGGGTCTTCCCCCCAGTTTAAATACACATAATAATGGAAAAGGAGGTTTTTCCCTCAATTTAAACCCCTTTTCCCCTGAACTCCCTGCCTTTGTTCTGGCGTCACCGGGATGCACTGAGGAGAAACTGCGGGCACTGGGATGCACTGGTGAGGGATGGGGAAGATTAAATAGAGAGGAGAAAGGAAAGAGATCTTCCCAGGACCCCCAAATGCTGTCCCACTCCTCACCCTCACCAGCCACACCTGGGCTGCCACACCCCTCAGCACAAGGGGTTTTAAACTGAAGGATAGAGATCAATATAGATATAAACACCGGGAAAAGATTTTTACAATAAGGGTGGGGAGGCCATGGCACAGGTTTCCCAGAGAAGCTGTGGCTGCCCTGGAGGTGTCCAAAGCCAGGTTGGACAGGGCTTGGAGCAACCTGGGATAGGGAAAAGTGTGCCTGCTTGCAGCAGAGGAGCGGAACGAGATGAGCTTAGAAATCCCTTCCCATGAAATATATTATACAAAAACCCCCCAGCCTCCCTTCGGTGAGGTCTCCGGGGGGAAGAACTGACTTTAAATCTGTTTAAGGTCCCTCACCCGGGGCCGGGCGTGCTCTGGGGCCCGGCCGGGCTGTGACACCACCGATCCCTCGGCCTCATCCCTCAGCCGCGCCCGGGACCGGCGAGCGTCTCCAGCGTGGCTTTTTGTTTGGTTGGTTGTTTTCTCTTTTCCCTTGCGTGTCTGAGTCGTCTCATTTATTTATTTATTTATTTTCCGCCGCGAAAACAAACAAATAAGTAAAATCCCTCCCCAGAGCGAAACACGATGGCGCGGACGGGATGGCAGCCGGGCGGGTGTCCCAGCTCCAGCCCTTCGTGTCCCAGCTCCAGCCCTTCGTGTCCCAGCTCCTTCTGCGCCCTCCTGGGAACGCAGGTGAGCACAGGGAACGC